TATATATAAAAGTCCCAGTGTTGTGTGCCCTCTCTCCCCAGCCACATGGCAGCTCTTGGAGAGCAGAGACTCCCCTGTGCTTAGCTAGATGCCTTTTACAAACTAGGTACACAATAAATGCATGACAAATGAATCTATCAATAGATTGAATACATCAATGAAGTGATGTAGGAATGGGATTTTAAAACTGTAATCTCAGCCCTTTGGGAGGCTGAGGTGGGAGGATTACTTGAGGCCAAGAGTTCAAGATCAGCCTAGACAACATAACGAGACCCATCTCTAAAAAAAAATTGTTTTTTTAATTAGCTGGCATGGTGGGTCTTACCTATAGTCCTAGCTACTCAGGAGGTTGAGGCAGGAGCTTCATTGAAACCCAGGGGTTCAAGGTTACAATGAGCTATGATCACAGCACTGCACTGCAGCCTGGGCAACAGAGTGACACTCCATCTCTAAAAAAAAAAAAGAAAGAAAGAAAGAAAGAAAAACAAATAAAAATAAAAATTTCAAACAGTATAGAACATACTGAATGCCAAAAGGGCCTGGGATCCATCACACAAAAGACATGTATAGTCACCAACATGCCACGTAGGCATCAAAAAATCTCACAGGATGTTGCCTTTAGAAAGTTTATTAAGAGGGTAAAAACTATAGCAAATGAGAGACTTAAATTGCATTGCCAAGAAATGTTTTCACTGGTAAAGTTCTTTGACAGTTCCTACTACGTTGTTACACTATTGCCCAAGCTTTGCACAGCATTACCTCAAAAGTAATGAATATGTTAATTCAGTTCCTAATTAAAATTATTCATATTATATTAAATTTAATCTCACTTCTGTTATATGTCATTATCAAAGAAATTGAATAGTTCTAATATATGACTGTAATATTTACTTATTTGGTTTTATTTTAAAGGTTCAAAAAAATAGGCAGAATGTGAAATTGGTTTCTTATCAAATGCAGAAATGCCAGCTGAGTAGTATTTATAAACACATATCATGGAAGATCATCAATATTGTTTCCAAACATGTCTAGAAACTCTAACGGCTTCAAAACATCAAAGGTAAATAAACTCAAAAGTTATTTTCCTTGAAGTTATTTGAAGAAACTTATTTCAGAGTTAAATAGTCCTTACAAAGAAAATTTTTATCCAATAAGAAGTTGCTTGAAATCAGTGGTTGGTATTTTCTTGAGATTTCCCTGAGCTCTTTCAGTAGAACAAACTTAACTCAGGCGGTATTATTGTTAGGTAGATATGGAGGCATTCCAGGTCTCCTAGGGATGAAAGTGGGTGCTGTTGCCCCCATCTTGGTCCTGCCCCACCCTAATCCTATCTCTAGCAACTGCCATACCTGGGGGAGGAGGGAATACCATATGAATCTGCCAATCATAACTTAGTGTGCCAGCTGCAAAAGAATGCAGAAGACTGTCTAGCCCACAAGCCAAGCAGCATAGGTACCATAGAGTCTGCAAATTGACCTAGAACAACCTGCATGCATAGTTAAGACTCAGGTCATGTGTCTCCCAACTGTCCAATCAAAGTGGTTCCATGGTGACCTCTGAACCACAAAGGAGGTCCCAATCCAGTCACTATAAAACAAGACACAGACCATGACCAAATTCCTTTTCCACCCTTCCTTTGGCTCTCCCTTTGCTGCAACAATGGGTTCAGTCATCATCTGTGGTGTATGTATCATGCTCTGTAAATCTATATGCTGCTCTTGCCCTATAATCCTATCTTTCTCTCGTCCATAAACCTCATTTTCATGCTTGCCTAACTTTGGTGCGTCTGGTCATTCTTTGGCCATGGGCGCATTAAGAATCCACATTTTCAGACTATAACCTGACATTATTTCTTAGTTATTTCATAACTTGTTTTCTTTGACACAATTTGCCTGACAAGCTAGAACAACCAGAACGGTAGAGAATCATGCAAATAGATATTGACATTAGTAGCAAATGTGCTGATAGATCTTGCCAGAGGTATTGATTTTCCAAAGCTGTATTATTCCATTCCACAAAACAAACTAAACTAAGACTGAATTAAAATAAAATCAGCAGGTCTTACACTGATAAACCATAAGCTGTTAATGTGAGATTGAGGTAAACCTATATACATGAAAAGACTCAACTACTTATTATTCATTGAGATCTCTCTACTGGAGCTTGGATATTCTCTTCCTCTCCAGTCCTTGGACAACTGCTTCTGGCTCCCTGGCCTTTGGACTTCAGGATTTACACAAGCCCAAGCCCCTACCCCAGGTTCTCAGGACTTTGGCCTGGGACTGAGAATTACACCATCAGCTTCCCTGGAAACACAACACAAACAGCTCAGGGGCCCCAGCTTGCCACTGGCCTGCCATGGGAGTCTCAGCCTCCTTAATCTCATGAGCCAATTCCCCTAAGAAATCCCCTCTCATATATCTATTTATATATATTCCATTGATTCTATCTCTCTGGAGAACCCTGACTAATACACAGTGTGAACCATGTTTAAGTGTACAGTAGTGTTACCTGTATGTGTATTGTTGAGCAACAGATCTCTAGAACCTTTTCGTCTTGCAAAACTGAAACTCTATAGGCATTGAACAACAGCTCCCCTTTTCTCCCTCCCCCTAGCCCCTGGCAACCAGCATTCCACTTTCTGTTTCTAATAGTTTAACTATTTTAGATAACTCACATAAGTCGCATCAAATATGTATTTTTTATTAAAAATTATTTTCCTTTTATTTATCCCTTATAGTCAGAGCATTATATATCAAGTTAAAAAGATATTGTGGGCTGGGGCACAGTGGCTCACACCTGTAACCTTAGCACTTTGGGAGGTGGAGGTAGGAGGATCACTTGAGACCAGCCTGAGCAACAGAGTGAGACCCCATCTCTACGAAAAATAGAAAAATTAGCCAGGCATCATGGCTTGTGCCTGTAGTCCCAGCTACTTGGGAGGCTGAGGTCAGAGGATCGCTTGAGCCCAGGAGTTCAAGATGGCAGTGAACTATGATCATACCACTGCACTCTAGCCTGGGCAACAGAGCGAGATACTGTCTCAGAAAAAATAAAAAAAAGATATTGTGTAGTAAAGGGAGCAAAACAAAATATTTGTTATTAAAAAATGGCAATATGGGCTGGGTGCGGTGGCTCATGCCTGTAATCCTAGCTCTCTGCGAGGCCGAGGTGGGTGGATTGTTTGAGCTCAGGAGTTCAAAACTAGCCTGAGCAAGAGCAAGACCCCGTCTCTACTAAAAA